TGAATTAGAGGGTAAGCCAGAGATCATTAACCTTTGGAGAACATATGTAGAGAAGGCTCTGGAAGGAGACAGGCCGGGTCTCGGATCCCCTAAGCACCGCCAGGGATGCGGGTGAAAGACCCTGCATCTGGTCCTTCCAGGAAGCTCTCTCTGGGAGGACTTAACAGGGTCCTTAGGGCTGAGTTTTGCTGGATTTTAGAGCCGATTCCAGAGACCTCTTTGGGGACATGTCACATCTGCCCAATGCCCTCAGCCCAGGCTACACTGAAGGGAGTTCACCGTGAAAAGGGAACCAGGGGAAATCACTGCAGGCTTGGGGCCCCCCAGGCTGTCTTTCTCAGGCCACAGTGAGACCCAAAAGAGCTTCAGCGAGAACTGAGACAGGAGGAAGTGTGAGGCACAGAAACAGTGGGGAAAATATTTACCCAGCGGCTGTGGCCTGAGGATGTCTCGGAGTTTGTCCATCCATGCCGGAAGAGGAAGCCAACAGCCATCAGAAAAAATGCTGAAGCTATTGCCCCCAGCTCTGCTGACCGGGGACCGGTGTCGGACTGAGCCGGAATCCTAACAGGACACATGGCTGCACCCATGCAGTGCTCTCCAGGGCAGTGTCCACTTAGCCTTTGAGGTCAACATGCCCACGTCCCTCCCTGACCTACCCTGCACCCTTCTCATGCTGACTCAGAAGCTTCTCCCCTGCAGTGCTCAGGGCCCAGGGCTCAGTCAGGCTGTCATGCCTGAGAGGGGCCCAGTGGGCACACTTGGCAATGCTCGGGGCCATATGGTGCCACAGATCAGGGCCCAGGCCTGCACTCCACCCCTTGGAGGCTGATTTTTATCAGCTGTCTGCTAGCTCAGGTGTGCCGGATACTGGACAACACTGAGAAAGCTGCTGTCCCTGTGTGCATAACTTCTGCTTCCCAAAGTGGCAGGTGCGTAATGATTCCATGCACATAAACACACATGCCAGACACATCTGTACATGCACACAGACCCCAAAGGAAACAGCAGTATTGGAAAGGGTTCCAAATGGACAAGAGATGAAGCTCTTCTCCCACTGGGGTGGGGGGTGGGGGGGAAGGTATCAAAATTACTGAAGGAAAAGGCAGCGGGCAAGCAAAGCAGGGATCCACAGAGGTGATAGCCGCCTGGGCTCTGGGCTCAGGGACAGGAAGTAACAAGCAGTCTGCAGGCCTGGCACCCAACCAGCACCAGCTCCCGCTCCAGCACCAGCCTTGCACCATCTTTAGCACCAGCTCCAGCTCCAACTCTGGCTCCTGTACCAGCTCTAGAGATGCACCATCTCTGGCTCCAGCCCTGCACCAGCCCCAGCTCCTGCACCAGCTCCTGCACCATATCCAGCACCAGTTCCAGTACCAGCACCAGCTCTAGCACCAATACCTAAACCATCTCCAGCTCCAGCACCAGCTCCAACTCCAGCAACAGGCTCCTGCACCAGTACCAGCTCTCCTGGGAACACCGCTGACTCCCCGGGACTTCTGGCTGAAGAGGTGAGTGAGCTGACCCAGCAGTGCAGGCCAGGAGGGGGGCAATAGTGAATGCGCCAGGCACCTCTCTGTTCAGGGGAGCAGCAGACCCACTCATGCCATGCTCCATGCAGGCACACATGGCCCTGACCCACAACTAAGTGGATATCTACTCTCCTTCCTTTCCAGAAACGACTCTCCTGCCCACCTCTCCTCTTGGCTACCAGCTCTGGCAGGTGTAGGCTCGCCCCGCCCCCCCGCCAGGCCTGGGGTGCTCCAGCCCAGGGCCCTTTCCTCTCTCTGTCCGACCTGTGAGTCCTTCACATGGAAATAAAGCAGCGCCAGGTGGCTGGTTTCATTCGCTCGTCCTAAAACGTTTGATTCCTTAAACCGAGACAAAGATTTGCTGGAGAGCAGACACAGGAACCCAGAGCTGCGCTGGCAATGGTCTGGTGGTGGCCGGCAGCAGAGTGAGGCCAGGCTGGGCAAAGTGAAGCCCCTCCAGCCCCTCCCAAGCCCACAGCCCCAAGGGCACACTCCTGCTGGAACGAAAGGTGCTCACAGCTCTAGGCTGGCTCTCCAGGACAGGGAGGGCAGGGGAGATGGGGGGGCACAGTGGTTCAATCTCCTGGGCTCACAGGGTCTCCTGAGACCTGCCAGGATTGATCCCTGAGAGCAGAGCCAAGGCTAAGTCCTGAGCACTGTTGGATGTGGCTCAGCCCTTCCCCCTGCAAAAATTGTGGACATGTGGATAGGGGTAGGCAGAGAAACATACATACACACACTCCAACACGCACAGACACATGTCTATATATATGTACACAGACACACACATGCACCTACACTCACACACACAGGTACACACGTACACTTATAGAGATGCAGATATGCCCATATGTATGCACTTCTACATACATAGAGAGAGAAAGAATCCGGAGTTCCGACATCCGTCGACGATCAAGAATCAGGGAGGCTGTCTCGTTTGCCAAGGTGTCAAAAATCAGGTGGGCTGGTCACGTAATGAGATTTAAAGACGACCGCTGGACTAGAGCTGTTACCGACTGGATTCCACAGGATGTCAAAAGACCACGTGCCGCCCACCTACCAGATGGTCAGACTTCTTCGTCAAGATCATGAACGATCGGTTTGAGGCTCTTCATGTTCCCGGAGCGAACAGATGCCATTGGGCTACACTAGCACGCGACAGGGACAAATGGAGACGTTACTGGCGCCCGCTCGAGCAAATCGACGACTAACGGGAAGTTAAGTGATTAAGTGATGCACTTCTACACACACAGACATGCAGAGACAGAAGCAGGACACAAGATGCCATTATACTCTCCTGCACGCCCCTACGCTCTCTGGTGAGAGCCCAGCCAGTAGAGACCCTGAGGAGAGGCTGAGGAGGCAGAGTTGCTTTTCTCAGCAGGGAGCCCCCTGCTTCTTCCCATAGTTGCGGTCTTGGGCCTAACAGTTCCTCTGTCCCACCACACTGGGGCCTGGGCTCCCAGCACCCAGCAAGCCATTGTGTGTGTGTGTGTGTGTGTGTGTGTATTGGGGTGGGGGTGGGGCAAGCAGGGCAGGGAGGAACCTGAGTGGATGCTCCAGTGAGCGCAGGATGTCCACTGGCCTCACCAAGACCCTGGTCCAGCCCAGAGGTCCTCACATCTGCAGCAGGAGATGGGTGTCCAGAACCAGCTCCAGGGCACAGGAGCACTGGCTGATGCCCCCTGGAAGGAGGTGCCAAGCCAGTACCTGCCCCTCCCCTTCCCTCCCCCATCACTCGATCCCCCTCCTCCTTTCCCTCACATGCTCCTCCCCTTCCGCCTGTCCCTCCCACACTTATCTGCTCCTCCCTTCCCCCTCATCCCTTCCCTTCCATGATCCTCCCTCTGCTCCTCCCCTCTCCTCCCTCACCTGATACTCCCCTTCTCTTTCCTCACCTGCTCCTCCCCTCCCATCTGATCCTTCCCCATCCTCCCCCTTCCCTCACACGCTCCTCCCACACACCTGTTCCTCCTCTCCCCCTCCTCCCATCCCTCACACTTTCCCCCTCCTACCTGCTTCTCTAGCATACCAGCTCTCCCCTCTCTTTTCCCATCTCTCACCTGCTCCTCCTTCTGCTCCCACCTGCCCCTTCCCTACACACCTGCTGAAACTGTGCCCACCTGAACAGCCTGGGCTGGGCTGGCTGCCCCAGACACAGAGGCAGTGCTAAGGGCCACAGATGGCCCCTCTAAGGCAAAAAGCTAAGAATGAGGGACCTGGTAGCCAGTTAGTGACATTGAGGTCCATAGGGAAAGTCACCCTTTTTTTTTTTTTTGCCTCTCTACTTTCCTGTAAATATTACTTCTTGCTTCTACTGGAGCTGAGTCCAGGAGTGAGTGGCAGTCCTTGTTTCCCCCCTCACAAATCAGGCCTCTACTTGCTGTGACTCGGGTGGCACTCAGCAGTGTCTCAGGGGCAGGGTCCTGGCAGAAAGGTTCAGCATTGCGGGTTACTTCCACTGAAAGAGGACACTTAGGGGGCCAGAGCAGCAGTACAGAGGGCACTTATCTTCCACGTGGCCAACTCGGGTTTGATCCCCGGCATCCCCCATGGTCCCTCTAGTCCCACCAGGAGCAAGCCCTGAGATCGCTGGGCATGGCAGAAAAAAATGAAAAGAAAACAAAGATGGTGCTGAAGCTTAAGCCCAGGGCTGGAGTGATAGTACAGCAGGGAAGGTGTGTGCCATGTACGGGGTCGACCCGCGTTCGATCCCTGGCATCCCACATGGTCCCCTGAGCACCGCTGGGTGTGACCCTTAAGCCCAGGGGAGTGGCAGGTCTCAGCGCTGAGCGAGATGTTCTGTGCTGCGCAGCCTTCCTTCTCTCCCACGCACTCAGGCAAACAGCACTTCTCCTTGGTCCTGGGGGAACCTCCCAGATGATGTGACAGGGAGTGGAAAGCAGGCCAGCATTCTGCCCTTGGGAAGGGTCAGGTGGGGCGGGTGGTTAACCTGGACTCGGCCAAATGTGGACCAATCAGGTCCAGCTGAGTGAGCAAAGTCCCTCCGGGACCAGGCACAACCAGACACCCCTGCCCCCCGAAGCTGTCTGATACCTGCAGAAAGCACCGACCTTCAAGTGACTCCAAATCCCCTTTATCAAAGCAATCTGCACCGAGGCACCGTCCCAGAACGCCACCCCAGCCGGCAGCGGGGAGACCCCCTCTGCTTCCCCTGGAGCCGATTTGCCTGGCCCAGGTCCAGTCGCAGGATGCCAGGCACACAAGCCACATGGCTGGAGCAGTGCCCACAAGCCAGAGACGCAGAGACAAAGGGGGAGAGAAGACAAGACAGACCCCGGGCGAGGAGCGGTCCCTGTCTCTCGCTGCCTCTCCCTCCCATATCGGGGCTCAGACCCACTCCCCAGGACGCAGTGGGAAAGGGGAGGTCCAGCAGCAGCTGGCTTGAGGGCCAGCACCGCCCAACAGACGATCATTGAAAAGCAGCAATGACTGCCAAAAGCCATCTGAGAAACATAACATTTTAATAGATGAAATAAATACTCCAGTACATGCAAGGTAAAAACTTGACATTGGGCGGGGCGGGAGGGAAATCACTCGATAATGTAAATTAAAAAAACAGGACACACACTCACAGCCGCCTCCCCTCTCCGTTTGCTAACCAGATGGCAAAGCAGATTCTCTGCACACCAAGGTACTCCTGACCCAACTCCACTGCCGGAAAAGTTAACAACAGACAATAAAGGTAGCTACATCCATGTCTAGGGAGAACTGAGGTAACCTTTTCTTTTATCAGAAAACAAAGACCAAAAAAAAAAAAAAAGCCGAACCCAAACAAACCAACCCAAAATGAACCCACGACCTCCTTCCTGCCCGAGATTCATCAGAAGGTTTAGTTTGAGGAATTCTGGAGGGGAAGCCAGGGCGGGGTCGGAGGCACAGCCACCAGATGTCCCATCGGCCATCTCCGGGGTCCACAGGCACAGGCCGCGGTGGGCCCAGGGCCCCTCCCTCCAGGTGCGTGGTCCCTGCCTTCTGGAAGATCCTCCAGGGGGGTTCAAAGGAATGGGGCGGGGCGGCGCGTGGGGGCGTGGGGAGGGGCGCTTCACCTGTGATCTCTTTGGTATACATGGAGGGGTGGGGGCAGGAGCTTCCTTCAGTCCGGGGCTAATTCACAGAATTGGAATGCACGGGCGGTAAAGTCCTGGGCGAAGACCTCTCGCGCAAAGCCTGAGACAGCAGGGTGCAGCCCTCCGACACGGCGCAGGCCGAGCTCCGCAGCCTGTCCCGGTGGTCCGCCATCCTGGCCCCGCCGTCCGGGTGCAGGGCCAGGTCCCTGAGGCACTGGGTCAGCAGGACGCAGGCCGACACCACGCTCATGGCGCCGCCCAGGATGGCCGTCTGCACCGCCTTGCCCTCGGCGCTCACGGCGGCCGCGCGGCCCAGGAACTGCGGCTCGGTGGCGAAGCCCACCAGCGCGCTCACGGCCTGCACCAGGGGCCCGCTGAAGAGCGCGCAGCGGCCCCGCGCCAGCTCGCTGGGCGCCGCCTTGACCTCGCGCACGCAGGCCAGCAGCGCCGACGCGCTGGTGCTCATGCACTTGACGCCCAGCTTGAACTGCTCCCGCGCGAAGCGGTCCCGGGACCTGTCGCTGGCCAGCGCGCAGGCGTCCGTCAGGAACTTGAGGTTGCGCGACAGGCCCTGGGACACCTCCAGCAGCAGCTGCGGGGTCAGGTCGGCCAGCGGCGTGGCGCGCAGCACGGCGCAGCCCTGCTCCACCTCGTGGCGGCAGCGCGTCACGCGGTAGCGGTCCACCAGCCCCGGCTGCGCGGGCTGCGCGCCCGGCGTGGCCACGGCCGCCAGGTAGGCGGCGTGCGCCGAGCACTCGGTCAGCGACACCACCAGGTCGCCCAGCTCCACCAGGCTGTCCCCGGCCTCGCCGAAGCGGCCCATGTTGAGCTGGCTCTGCACGTCGTGCGTCAGGATGGAGAGCCCCTTGGTGCGCGCGATGATGGTGTCCCGGCACTGCTCGAAGGACTCGGCGCCGGCCGCCGCGGGGCCCTCGACGAGCACCGGCCGCGCCTCGCTCGCCAGCAGCAGCAGGTCGGCCACCAGCTGCATCTTGCCCTTGCAGTGGTCGCACACGGCCGCCAGCCTCTTGCGCGGCTGCGAGCCGGCCCCGCCGCCGGCGCTCGCGGGGGGAGCCGGGGAAGCCGCCTCGCCGGTGGGCTGCCCGGCGCTGCCGCTAGCCATCGCGCCCGGGGGGCACTGGCATGCCGCTGGGGAGCCCGCTACCACCGCCGCGCGTCAGCTGGCCCGGGCCGCGGCGCCCCCGCCGCACCATCATGCCATGCAGCGCGGCGGGCAGGGCGCGCGGGGCGGCGGCGGCGGCGGCGGCGGCGGGCGGCGGGCGGCGGGCGGCGGCGGGGCGCGCGGGGCGGGCGGGCGGCGGCGGGGCTCCGGGCCGGCCGGCAGGAACCATGAACCGGGCGCGCGCTCACGGCCCGCGCGGCCAGGAAAGTCCCTTGTGCCGGGCCGCCGCCGCCGCCTTCCTGGGCATGGCCGGCCGCGCGGCGGGCGGGGGAAACTGGGAGTTGTCCTTCCTTCCTTCCTTCCTTCCTTTCTTTGAAATCCGCAGCCGGTCCTCGGGGAGGGGCGCGGGCGGCGGCTCCGGCGACCCCGCTGTCAGCGCCGCACGTGGGCTCGGCGCGGAGCGACCCCGCCGGGCGCCCCCGGCCCGGGGCGCATCTCGTCCTCCCGCCGGGAGAAGCCGAGGGTGTGGCCGCGCCCAGTCGGCGGCGGGCGGGCGGCGGCCCGGCTGCGCTCGCGCCCGGCCCGGATCACTGGGCGCCGCCCGCCCCGCGCGCCCCGGGGCCCGGCGCTGGCGGCGGGCGCGAGTCCATGCCCGGGGCCTCCCCGGCTCGGGCCCGCGGCGGCTGCGCTCCCCGGCGCCCCCGCGCGCGGCGCATCGGAGGCCGCGCGCGCGTCTCCCGGGCCGGCCCGACTCACAGGGGCCCCGCGGCGCGGCGCTGGCCCGCCCGGGCCCCGGCTCCTGCCATCGTCCTCGGCCTCCAACTTCCGAGCGCGCCGGCCGCAACTGGGAGGAAGGGCGGGGCGCGGGCCGGGCTCGCCGCCTCCGCCGCGCGCCGCCCCGGGGCGCCCTCGCCCCGCGCCGCCAGCCCCGCGCCGCCCGAGCCTATCGCAGCCTTCGGGGCGGCGTCTCCGCCCCGCTCCCCGCCCGCTTCCTCTCCCGCGCGCCGCCCGCCCCAGCCTCCCGGATGCTGGCGCGGGGCGCGGCCCCTCCCCCGGGAAGCCGGGTGGGGGGAGGGGGCGGCGCGGGGCGCCGGGGCGCCGCCGCCCCGGCCTGACGTCAGCGCCCGGCCAGACCCGGGGTTCCCCGTCTCCCGTCCCGCGGCTCTGGCCCGAGGCCTCCCGTTCTCCGCCACAAGGGACGCGCGGGTGCCTTCCCGCGGGACCTGGCCGGTTCCCTGCCCTCGAGGCAGGATGCTGCCTGAGCTGACCGCACCCACCGCCTTCCTAAAGGCTCGCGGGGCTGCCACCGCACTTCGAGGTGCGGCCCCCAGCCATCCTGGGCCGCCGGTTTCCCGCTGTCCCCCGCCGCTGGAAAACTGGCTCCCGAGTGCCCGTGAGGACTCGGGGGGCTGAGGTCGCCGGCGCGGTTGAGACCGGCCGAGTGACAGTCCACAGAGACCTGTGTGTGATTCAAAGATGGGAAACTGAGGACCTGCAGAGGGTGGGCTCAGCCCCAGGAAGTGGTTCGAGCCAGGGTTTCCGGCGAGCAGCACACCCCAGTCCTGAAACTGGCCCTGCCCCCACTAGGAAAGGGTCAGCCTCCATCCCCTCCGGAGACGCAGAGTCACTTTTCTTTGAGGACAGTGGTGCTTACTGCCTTGGGGCTGGAGCGGCCCTCTGCAGGTCCAGGTTCTATCCCCAGCACTGTATGGTCCCTGAGCACCCCAGCAATAATCCCTAAAAACTCAGGGTGTAACCTCCAAACCAAAATCAGGGGGAGGCCGGAGCAATAGGACGGCAGGTAGGGTGTTTGCCTTGCACTCAGTCGGCCCAGATTCTAGCCCATGGTAGACAGATATGGTCCCTGATCCCCACGAGGAGTGATCCCCGAGTGGAGAGCCAAGAGTGGCCCCTGAGCACCACGGGGTGTGGCCCCCTCTACCCAAAAAGCATCAGAATGACCCCAGAGTGACTCCTCCAGACCCACTAGGTTTGAGAAAGGGCCCCGAGTCCCTTCATGGACACAACCACGAAGACAAAAAGGAGAGGCCTTCTGCCGGCCTCCACCTTAGGGGCCAAATCTAGAAGATTCCCCACATGAGGGACTTGGTGAACTCCCAGCCCTTGTCTAGGGCACGTCCCCGGAGGAGCGAGGAGCAGCTGATGCATGGCACACACTCGCTCTCTCCATGGTAACCCAGGAATAGCACCTTGTCCTATTTAGTTCCCAAGTTTATTATGAGCAAGAAGGGCAGGAGTTTCAGTGCAGGCCTCACTCACAGAGCTGCTCTGGGACAGGGCCTTGGGTCCCAGTCCCCTCCCACCTACCCCTGCCCCCCACTCCTCTGCTTCCTGGCCTGCCTCACCTGAGGCCACCTGTACCATCCTTCTGCGCGGACCTGGGGACAGGTCTGAGCACACCTGAGGACGGTGGGGAGGCCCTGAGTCTCTTCTGACCCAGACCAAGAGAGGGCAGTGCCCTAGCCCTGAGTGGGTGCACTTTCCCAGGAAGGGGCACCCAGAGCCCACCCAGTCTCTGCCCCTGCTCCCCACCCCTGCCCAGAACACAAAACACTTTCCTCTGGAGCTGGAGCACATGCCTGGCCTAGTTCAATCTCAGCAGGGCACTGTGTCCCTAATGGCCCCAACAACACAGAACAAGAGGAAGACAAGCTGGCTTCTGCTGTTCGGTAGGCAAACAGAGGGCAGAATCAGCATGGAGCAACCAGGGGAGGTGCCTGTTGCAGATGGGGGTCTCAAGCTCCCTGGGGGCAGGGGAAAGGAGTCTGGGGCAGTACCTCTGGAACTGGCTTCCTGCCACCCCTGCAGAATAAAACCGAAGGACAGGGAGAGGGCCACAGCCCAGCTGGTGCTTTGCATCCGTGAGGCCCTGGGCTGAATCCCAGCATGCCCCCTCGGCCCACCACACAAAACAATTTCAAATACAATATGAGCCAAAGGTGACATGCAGAGTCCTGCTTGCAGAAATGGAAAGTAGGGAGCGAGGGAAGGAGGGGGAAAGCTCAAGTCGTGCTGAAGCTGGACTGGAGGTGAAGGGGCACCAGGCAGCCCCACAACCCCTGTGCCAATCAGTGGAAGTGAGGAGGTTGAGGGGGTGGAGAGATGGGACTGATTGAAAGGCAGGACGAGCAGCTGTGGGCAGAGTGTTCTGGAAGCTGCACACAGTTATAGGTGAAGGAGTGTTGTTTTTCTCTGGGTGTAGTAGTAGTCCGGGCCCCCATGGTAGACTCTGAAATCTGTGCTCTTCCCAGTGACACTATCCTGATTCTGCAGACCTCCTCCACTGGCCCTATATCTACCTGTACTTTCTGGGGACTTTAGGGGTAGCTGCCCAAATCCGGCCCACTCCCCGACTGTGCCTGTGATTGAGTTTCCTTCCTGCCAGCTCTGCCAGGTTGAGGGAGGCCGTGGGGCGGGGCTCTGGCTCTGACGCTGCCCAGACATGTGTGTGGTATGCCAGGCCTTCCTTCTGGCCATCCTCCAAGAGGTCCTTCCACACCCCGTCCATCCCTCCATGATGCCTCCAATACTAGCTGACAGTGGCTGACCGCTGCCTATGTGGCGAGTGGTCACCCTCCAAGAGTGTATCCTGCTCGCTGGCCCGGCCTGACCCCACTTTCCAGCCTCTGTGCCTGCTCACCTGGAGTCTGTGTCCAGGACCAGCAGCACTGGCCACGTGGATCTGAGCAGAGCCCATGATCTGGGAGATTGGGAAGTTTCTCCAATAGTGGTCCAGCGTGCTATGTGGTGTGTGGGTGCTGACCCAGGGCAATTCTCACCCCCTTTCCCCAACAGGCTGGTGAGTTGGGACATATTTTCCAGCATCCTGTAGGGAAGAAAAGGCAAGAACTACTCAGCACCTCCACCAACCCCACACAGCAGGGCCCCTGCAGTGACAGGAGCACCCTAGCTGCCACTCCTGGGAGCCTCCTGGCCTGGACAGGGCAGATGGACATATGTGAACCCCTGGCACCTCTGTGCCGTGTGCTCAGTTGCGGTGTGGTCAAGAGGTAAGGACACAACCACTATAACCTGCCTGTTCCCAAGGGTGGGGGGGAGCGTGTCTGTCCAGCTCCTCCCTGCCCTCTGCTGGGGGCTATCACCTCCCGGCTCTGCTCTGGGGCTGTCAATCACCTCCCCCCTCTGCTCTGGGGCTGTCAATCACTTTCCCCTTCTATACTGGGCAGCTGTCAGTCACCTTCCCCCTCAGCTCTGGGAGGTTGGACTGCCTTTCACTGCCCCCACCTCTATCCTGGGGGCTGTCATAATCATTTTTCAGCTAGGAAAAAAAGTCCTTTTCTTTCTTAACTGTAGGATCTGTTTGTACACAGCAGGTTGAGGTTTTCCTCCCAATGTGGTTGGGGGACCACTCCAATTGATACCTGGCCAACCAGGTTCAACGTGAGGGTCTGAGATGTGGTGCAGCCCGGGTCACCCAGCAGTGCTGAGTCTCCAGGGGGCCCATTTGGTGGTTCTGGGGATCCAACAAGGGTTGGCTGCACACAAGGGCCCTGGCCTTACGCCCTGTGCTCCGTGTGGGCCCCCCACACCTAATTTTCATGGTCTATCATTTTTATAGTGCTGTGGTGGAAACAGGGCTTCAGCTGTCAGGCATGTGCTCTAATAATGAGTCACAGCCCCCCAGTTTATTTATCACTTTAAAGGCTCAGCTTGAAGTACAGTCCTGGGGGTCTTGCTTTAGCAAATGAAGTTTGGGCGCTACAACACAGCCCATAATATACTATCACTGTCACTATCACTGTCCTCCGGTTGTTCATCAATTTGCTTGAGTGGGCCCAGTAACGTCTCCATTGTGACACTTGTTACTGTGTTTGGCATATCGAATACGTCACAGGTGGCTTGCCAGTGCGGGCAAGATACTCTCGGTAGCTTGCCAGGCTCTCCGAGAGGGGCGCAGAAATCGAACCTGGACCGGCCAGGTCAGCCAGGTCAGCCACGTACAAGGCACATGCCCTACCCACTGTGCTATTGCTCCAGTCCTACAGGGTAGGAATAAGGAAGTTAAAGGAGTTCTTGTGTGAAGGAGGGACACTGGTAATAAGCAGATATAGGTCATGGGAAATGAACTGATGGCACATGATGCCAGCAGAGGGTGCCGCTTTCTAGGTTCCGTGAACAAGCCTTGACACTTTTACCTGACCTCCTCCAAGAGGATTTGGTGTTATGTCAATTAGAAATACTTTACAACTACAGTTAAAAAAAAAAGTTGGGTCTTTCTGATGTAATTCAACATTTTTTAAGAAAGCAGCGGACTTCTGTTTAAAACGGGAGGAATCTGGGTTTTGGTTTTGTTTGGAGACCACACCCTAGCTGGGCTCAGGGCTTCCTCTTGGCTCAGGGACGGCTGCTGGCAGGACCGGGGGACCAAATCTTGTACCGGGGGTACTTCCAGCAGTGACAGATCGGTTAGTGCAAGGCAGCCGCCTCACCCGCTGTGCGTTCTCTCGGGCCCCAAACTGGAGGGTTTCACAGCAAGAACCAGATGTAACGACTCAGCCTCGGGTGAAAAGACAGGACCCGACGGCCCAGGCGAGGCGCACTGCTCAGATCTGCGGGCCGGCAGGGGGGCCCCGAGCTCAGCAGCCCTAGACGCCCTACCTGACGCGCCTCCACCTGACGTCACAGGACCCAGGGCCGGCGAGGGCTCGGGGCGGGCTGGACCCGCCGGAATTTCAGGGCCGGAAATGGGCCGCCGGCGCACGACCCGTAGGCGGAGCTTCCGGGAACCGGGGCTTGTCGCGGGCGGGGCCTCGGCCGCCGGAGGACGGAACTGCAGCGGCAGGCCGAGACCCGCGACGCGGCGGGCGCTGGTTGGCTAGCAGGGCTGGAGGGCGGGGCCACAGGCACGGAGGGGCGGGGCCTCGCTGGGCTCCGGCAGGGGGCGCGGCCGGCGACTCTCGCAGATCAGGTGGCGTGGGGGGGGCGGGGCGGAGAGAGGGCGGGGCGGGGCGGGGCCTTGCCCGGGCTCCGGCAGGGGGCGCGGCCGGCGACTCAGGCAGGTCAGGTGGCGTGGGGTGGGCGGGGCGGAGAGGGGGCGGGGCGGGGCGGGGCCTTGCCCGGGCTCCGGCAGGGGGCGCGGCCGGCGACTCAGGCAGGTCAGGTGGCGTGGGGTGGGCGGGGCGGGGGCGGGGCCTTGCCCGGGCTCCGGCAGGGGGCGCGGCCGGCGACTCTCGCAGATCAGGTGGCGTGGGGTGGGCGGGGCGGAGAGAGGGCGGGGCGGGGCGGGGCCTTGCCCGGGCTCCGGCAGGGGGCGCGGCCGGCGACTCGCGCGGGTCAGGTGGCGTGGGGTAGGCGGGGCAAGGCGGGGGCGGGGCTCCGGAGCGCGCGGGTCACGTGCTCGGGGAGCGGGGCGAGGTCACGCCTGTAGCGGCGGGGTCGCTGCGCGGCGCGGCGAAGATGGCGGCCTCCGTGCGGGCGCTCGCGGCCCTGCTGCTGCTCGGCACTTCTGACCTGCTGCTGCTGCTGCTGCTGCTGCCGCCGCCTCCTGGGGCCCTCGCGGCGGAGGGCCCGGCAGGGACGGCGGGCGAGGCGACCCCACCGCCGCGGAAGAAGAAGGATATTCGCGACTATAACGACGCGGACATGGCCCGTCTCCTGGAGCAATGGGAGGTGCGCGCGCCTTCCGCTGGGGACCCGCCGACCCCCGACACGGCCCCTGCCCTGCGTGGGAGGACCGGGGGACAGTGGCGGGCGCGGGTGGCGTTCGCAAAGCCGCAGCAGATGCGCGCGTGTGTGGCGGAGGCGTGGAGGCCGTGTGGCGCCCCACGTGTTACACTGTGGACAGGCCGGGGGGATCGGGCGCTTAGTCCCACGCGTTGCCTTGGGGCAGGCCGGGGGGGTCGGGCGCTTAGTCCCACGCGTTGCCTTGGGGCAGGCCGGGGGGATCGGGCGCTTAGTCCCACGCGTTGCCTTGGGGCAGGCCGGGGGGATCGGGCTGCGACTCCCTGCGATGCGCTCGGAGCAGGGGGGGCTTGCGGGATCCGAGCAGGGCGCTGCACGCCCCGTGCCCGCTGTCCAGACTGTGCCTCTGGGAGGAGCGGGGACGGCGGTGAGAACCGTCGGGAGGCCTGGATGCTGCGGGTACCGTATTCTCGTCCAAGGGAAAGTGCAGCCTCCGATCATTTGAGGGGTTGGATTGCCCAGGTCTCATCCCTGAGGGCCCCTTTGGGGTTCCCTGCTGGTTTTCGTTGTATTTGAAGTGCCCAGCCCCCTCTGCCTCCCCGGGATATTCCCAGAAGGGGGTGCTTTAGCTCCAAGGCCTTGTTAAGAGCAGTGGACACCTCCGTATAGCTTGGAGCTAAGCTTGCAGCCAGATTGGCCGGGTTTGGAGTGGGCTGTGGGAGAGCTGGGAGAGCAGGGGCGTCTGCGGCAGAGATCATTGCAGCTGGGCGGTCTTATCCGCAGGGCTACCCTGAGCATCATTTAATTGAACCCACTGCCCCAGCTGAGGCAGGAGGGCTTATCTCGCTTGATTTGTAGCAGGATTTGGAGACCAAGAAGTTAAGTAATCTGCCTCAGGTCATACAGCAGATTAGCAGGACCTCCCTGTGGTCATACTCTGCCCTTCACCAAGCTGACAGAGGGCCCTGGCCAGCGAGAACTACCAGGGGAAGGAGTTCTGCTTGAGAGTTACAGGGGACTGGGTGGTGATTGGGGGATGGATGGGGAGAGGGGCATGCAGGGGAGGGGGCAGGAGCTTTGCTCTGAGAAACTGGGGTCTTCTCCCTGGAGCCAGATCCTAACTCCTCAGGGCTGCCGAGTCAAGGAGTAGTGTTGGTCGACACCCCACAAATTGGGCTTCTCTATATGTCTGGTTCTGTCAGACGCAGTTCCTCCCTCTGGTACCTTCCACTCAAACCCTGTTCTTGCCCCAGGGACAGAACCAGAAGCCAGAGCTCGTCCTCTGCCCCAAACAAGGGCTGAGTCTAGAAATTGAAGGTGGCTACAACGCCCCCCTCCCCATTCAGCGGGGCCTGGAGCAGATCTGGGTGTGGGGGGCTGCTGGCTGCTTTAGGGGTGTGGGAAACTTCAAAACGGGTGAGCGATGGCTAGGGTGCTTGGGGGTACAATGACAGGGTACTTCCAGCAGTGACAGATCTATCCACCACGTCTCCAACCAGCATACACACGCATGAGTGGAAGGAAGTAGTTCTGGGGGCCACGCATTGTCCCGAGTGCTGGCGAGACTTCACATTTTGGTTGTCCTTTGGGACCTGGGGCTTGTGTTTGTGCGTGCCTTCCACGCCACAGAAGAAAAGTGGACTTAGAGGCTGCAGGTCCCTCTGGTGGTAGCGCCATCGAGGTCTGGCAGTGTTTGGAGAAGACAGGTGTGTCCCCAAGAGCAGAGTGTAGGACAAGCAGGGTATTGTGTGGCATACAACAGGGGCCTCACCATGTGGCCAAGAGCAGATTTCCAGTCGTGTCACAGCTGTGACACCAGGCAGGATGGAACTTCCACCTCGTCCACAGCCAGCCTTCTGGCCATAGCAGAGCCACACCCCCAGACATCTGCTCTAGTGGGGCTTGCCAGCAGGTCCCACCAACTGCTGGGCCTTGGCCATCTGCTCCTGCCTCCCTGTGACAGCAGGCACAGCAGTATCCCTGTCCAGTGTGGTGCCCTAGCAGAGACAGGAACCAGGACCTGGGAGGAGGGTTCTGTGCTGGCTCACTTCTGACTGGGGCTGCTGTCTTCCCCCACAGAAGGATGATGACATCGAGGAAGGTGACCTCCCCGAGCACAAGCGCCCAGCCGCTCCCATTGACTTCTCCCAGATCGACCCCGGCAAGCCTGAGAGCATCCTGAAGATGACCAAGAAGGGGAAGACGCTCATGATGTTCGTCACCGTGTCCGGGAACCCCACGGAGAAGGAGACAGAGGAGATCACCAGCCTCTGGCAGGGCAGCCTGTTCAATGCCAACTACGATGTGCAGAGGTGAGGCTCCCTAGCGGGGGGCTTTGCAACTCTAACACAACTTTTCACAGACAGTGGGCACTATGGCTCTGGGGCCTGGGGGCAGATGTGTGTGCAGCTGTGCTCATAACAGGGACACAGGGGACTCCCCTCCTCAGGCTTTTGCGCTCAGCCCTGAGCTGCAGCTGGGGGATCCCCTTACTCCCCTCCCCTGCCTCGCTGACAGCCCTGTCTTGGGGGTGAGAGGCTCTCATAAGCTGAGGAAACCCTCCAGGGAACCCATGGCTGGGGGTCAGGCTCCTGAGGAATGGAGCCCATTGCCACCACAGGGCCCCCAGACCCACTGTTTGCTCCTTTGACCTGGTGGGTGGGCACACGCCTCAGCCAGCAGTTTGTCCTGCCCTTGGGTCCCTTTCCGTCCTGGAGCTGGCGGCCTATGACCTTGGAGGCCAGTGGCTCTCCAGCCTCTGGCAGCAGAAGCCATTTGTCTGCTTCTCTGCCGTCGTCCCCTCTGGACCCAGGAGCCAGGACAGTGTTGGTGGTGGCCCAGCCCCTCCCGCTGGCTAGGCTCCTGAACCCAGGGCAGAGTCTGAGGCCTGTCCACACACATCTGCTCACTGCTGCTCCCTCCCAAGGTTCATCGTGGGTGCGGACCGAGCCATCTTCATGCTCCGAGATGGTAGCTACGCCTGGGAGATCAAGGACTTCCTGGTGGGGCAGGACCGCTGTGCCGACGTGACTCTGGAGGGACAGGTGTACCCTGGCAAGGGTGGAGGTGGCCGGGAGAAGAACAGCACCAAGCCAGCCAAGGGCAAGAAGAAGGCAGGCACGCCAGCCCCGAAGGCCGAGGGCCGCGTGGGCAGCACAAGGGAGGATCTGTGATCGTGGCAGGCCATGTGCCTCACTGTCTAAGTGGACCACTAGGGCCCCTCGGAATGTCGGGCCGCGGGGCACCCTTCCGTGTTCCACCAGCCTTCTTCCAGGCTCTGAAATGGGGGTTCAGCCAGGACACAGGTGTGAGCACCCTCATCTGCAGAAACAGTGAGAACAGAGGAACCTCTGGGTGCCTATGCGCCCTCAGTCCCGCCCGCGCTTCCCCGAGGACAGTGGGAGCTGGAGAACGGGATCGGCTCCCCTGGAGCCCTCTGTACCGACCCTTGGCTCTGTGAGAAACTTGTGTGTCTTTTACACATTAAACCTGTGCGGACCAGTGGGCGCCCCCCTGAGTCCCGGGCCCTGTGCAGGGCTGACGAGCACTGGGGCTGGCTGCTGGGTCGGGCACGTGTGAGAGCTGTCAGAGTGGCTGGAGACCAATAGCTGAGACGGGCCCCACGCAGGGAGTGGGGTGCTGTGACCCCTAGCCCTGCGGAGGGAGGATTCCCCAGCCAGGGGGTGGCATGGTGGCAGCTGCTGCTTTCTCCAAGCTGTCACTGGGCAGCGCCCTGCGTGTGGCAGGATGGGTAGCCCGCAGGTGTGAGGTGCCCCAAGAGCAGTGCAGGTGGCGGGGTCCTGCTGTTGGCTCCGAGCAGGGGTCTTCAGTGGCCTTCCATGGACCAGCTAGCGTACAGGCAGCAGGTCCGCCACCTTTACAGCTGTGGGCCTGGGATCTGGACCCACTGTACAGTACAAATGTCCAGAGGTCAGAAAGCACTGGTGGCCACTGTTAGAGCTGTGGGGCCAAGGGATGCTGGATGGGTGCTGTGCAACAGCGTCCCTCACCTGAGGCCAGTGAGGTCCATTGGGTGGAGTGAGGGAGAACCTGGACAGGCTGGAGGAGCTCCAGGCAACACCATTCAGCTATCAGGCTCCTGGGGGTGTTAGGACAAATGTGCAGCGGTATTTGGGGGTTTCAGTGGCGTGCAGAGGGGGCCCTACTGCCCTGGGGTGGGGGGGCAGTGAGTCTCCTGTACAGGGGCACGGCTCAGAGAACAGACCTACACAGCTGGTTTCCTTGTTTATTGTGGCTCAGCAGAGCCCATGCCCGCCCCCCTCAGCACTGGCCAGGTCTCCTGGGGCTGGGCAGACATAGGCACAATAAATAAGTTGAATGCGGCCAACGCCACTTCCAGAAAGGGCAGCTTCTCTGGCAGCCATGTGCCACCAGCCCCCCGCCATGCACCTGCACACAGCTCCACCTTTCAGGTCACTTGGGGCTGGCCACACCCAAGCTCCACAGTCATGCCGCTAACTTCACTGCCAGGCATGATCCACCAACAGAACTGTGCCCCGACCAGACCGGCCTGACCATAGTTGGGTCCCTGACCAGCCTGCCCTCAGTAAACCCGTGGCCCATAAGGGATCTGCCCTGCATGACAGATATCGAAGCCCGACCAAATCCGACTTCACCCCCAACAAGCCGCACCCCTGACACAACAGCAGCTCCAACTGGACTGGTCCTTGTGTGAACACACCCAGGACATGTCTGACCATGCAATCCGCTACACAGTCATGCCTGATGTCACCACCTGGTGACCTCGTCTGCTGTCATATCGGCCCCATGTGGCCATGCTGAAGTCATGTCTCTACCTCATAGACCTCACCACACCCCCATGTGGACCTCACCTGGTCTCACTGCCCAGTGGCTACACCCCTATGTGCCCTGCCCCTAATGGACACAACTGCGCCCCAATATGCAGCACCTCCACATGTGGCTGGGCTGGGCGTCCAGGTGCCGTATCTCAGGGGATGCAGCCTGGAGTGGTTCCTGCACTCGCGGGGATCTCGGGGGCACCCAGCCCTGGGGTGCTGTAGGTGGGGGCGGAGCCCAGGGGACCCCCAAATCGGTCCGGTCCTGCTCTGCTGCACTCACTCTGCCGATGCTGTCCCACCCCGGTGCGGGCAGGGTGCGGGGGCTTTGCTGTCGGCGGGGCTTGGCCCCGCGGTCCTTCCAGCTCACAGCGGCCGCCTGCGCTGCACGGGCACCGGAACCACCTGGAAGAGCCGCGCGGCGCGCTCGTCTGTCCTCAGCGACACCCACTGCGGCCGGAAGGTGCCTTTGTAGCCCGCGAAGGCCAGGTGGTCTGCAAAGAGAGGTCAGACTGGGGGCGGCGGCCAGAGCCCCTACTCTGCTCTGCAGGGCATCACTGGGCCCCATACTCCCCCCTCCACAGAGCGGCCGGGAGCAGTCCCTACCTTTCAGCCTGGGGCCCTTGTCTGCTCCCAGTTTCTCTAGCGCGCGGATCCACGGGCCTCTGCACACGGAGCTTCCACGGGAGACCGCCAGCACGATGGAGCTGGACGGAACCGCGGCGGGCCAGGTCAGGGCGGGGTTACGGCAGAACGCAGTGGGGATGCTTTACAGTGTGTGGGTGTGAGGGGGCAGGGTCAGAGAAGGTTAGGGGTCAGGACAGGGAGTCTCAGAGGAGGCTTGTTCTGAGTTAGGGGACCAGAAGGAGAGCTTGTGTCCGCAAGGCCCTTAGCATGGAAAGAGTGCTAAGTGTGGCCAGGGGAGCCCATAAGGCCCTGCGGACAGAGATGCGGGCTGCACGCAGCAGGGGTGGCCAGAACAAGGCGGGTGGTGTAGGGCCGGGGTTAGCCCCCCTCCTTTGAATCCCACCCAGAGTGCAGGAAGTTGAGGCTGCACCTGTGGGGGGAGGGGAGGAGGCAGGTCTCCTCCCTGAGCTGCCCGGAGCCGGTGACTTACTTTTCGGGGAGAGCCGCCACGTAGCTGAAGAGCTGCCAAGGGACGCCCTGCAGCACCGCCTTTCTGAAGACAGCGTGGCCCAGCACGTGGCCACGCTTCCCATGGATCACCACCACCTGGAGGCCCTCCTCAGAGCTGGGGAACCGCCTCCCGTCCACCTGGGCCAGAGTCGGCCGTGAGAGACAGAGCCGAAGCCCCCAGGAAGCAGGGTCCACACCCGAGAGGGAGTGTGCAGCGGCAAGGGCTTGGGCTTTCCCCGGGACTGGGAGCCGCCGAAGAGTCTTGGGCCCAGTGCCCCCTCCAGCCCACTCCGCCCAGCGCCCACACCTCAATGTAGGCCTCATCGCTGAGCAGGTGGAAGAAACGCCTGCCGCTCTCCAGCTTCACCTCCAGGAAACGCTCCTGGGTCTGGAAGAGGCAGTGGAGTTGGGCATCGGCAGGGGCACCACTCCAGCGCCCCACTCCCCTGCCGGAAGTGGAGGCTCACCGGCTGCACGCTGAGCTTGCGGGGCATGGGTACGTCCACGGTGGGCCGCTCTGCAAAGCGCGGGTAGGCGGCGGCCGTGCAGTCGCTGGTGCGGGACCCCGGGGGAATCAGAGCTTTGATCTTGATGCGCTCACAGCCCTTCACCGAGCAGAAGGCGAAACGCTCTCGCTCGTTCTGCGCCATCAGCTTCAGGAAGAGCAGCCTGTGCCAGGGAGGGTGGTGGGTGGGTGCTGCATCCCACTGGTGGGAGGACGGGGTGGGGGGTGTTCAGGGGAGTGAGGTCTGGTCCCGCGGAGCCTGTGCCTGGGGGACAGGCCAGAGAGCAACACCACGCACAGGGCCCCTCACCCCGAATCCTCATCCCAGAAGTAGTGGCTCCTGCCCGGGAAGCTGGGCCCCACTTTGTCCATCTGCAGCGTCCTCACGAAGGTGGCCGTCTTGGCCGTCTGTTTCCGCAGGCGGTCGTGCACGTCAGAGAGGATGGAGAAGACAGTGCCCCGTGGGTAGCAGAGCCCCACACGGATCCAGTCGCCCCTGCGAGAGGATAGCGTGGCTCAGCCTAGCCCCTGGTCACCCCCTAGCTGCTGCGGGGCACAGGGTTCAGGCCTGGCAAGGACAGATAGGTGGGCTGGGCTAGACGGACGCCAGTTCTGCTGGCCTGTATTACTTCCCAGGGAGAGCCCAGTGCGCCCAGAAACTTGCCCAGCAGTACCCGCGGCCATGTGCTGAGACTCAGGCCATCGCCAGCCAGTGGACATGGCCTTGTGCTGAGACTCAGGTCATCCCATCGCCTCTCCCGCGGCCTTTCTTTTTCCAGCACACCCCAGATGGCCATGCTGGGTCACCCTGCTGGGCGACGTCACACTGCAGACATCCTGCAGGGCTGTGTGGGCGAGCCCAAGGTTATATGGCTGCCCGCCCGCCCGGCCACTCCACCACCACAAGCCATGAGGGGCCACCCACGTCTGGATCACTGCCCTGTCCCTCACTGCTCCAGGTCTGCTCACTGTCCTGGTCCCCTTGCCGTCCTGGTCCTCTCCCTGTCTAGTTCCTCTCACTGTCCTGGGTCACTTCTCCCGGTCTCCTTGATGTCCTGGTCCCCTCCTAGTCCTGGGTCCCCCTGCCTGCCCAGAGTGCCCCATTCTCCAGGATCATTCTCTACAACACCTCATTAGTCAGGGTCACTTCCCGGTCCCCTCCCTGCCCCGGGCCACTGCCCCTGGTCTCCTTTTCAGGCTCCCCTCACTCTTCAGGGTCACTTCCCTGTCCTGGGTCAGTCACACTGTCGCGGGCTGTCCAAGCCCAGCCCTGCTGTCCCTCACTTGTTGAAGTTGATGAGCCAGATGGCTAGCTCAGCAGGTGCTGGCTGGTCCCAGTGGACGGTGTAGCCACGGCGCAGCGTGACCACGGGCTGGTACTGCTGGTAGTGGGAGCTGCGGGTCAGTGCCCCCTCCAGCCACAGCGGGTGCTCAGGGAAGTCGTTCTTGATGATCTTCAGACGCAGGTTACTGCTCTTGTAGGCCTGGATGTACATCTGCGACCAGAGAGCCACAGCAGGTGCCTGGGCACTTCAGTCCCCCATCCCCAGCAGCCCCCCACTCCTGCCTGCACCTATCGCCCCGGCACCCCAAGGACTGGACAGCAGCAGACCTGAAGGGCCTGCTCTACATCCTTCATCCTGCCTGGAATTGGGCCGATGTGGCCAGGACCAAGTTTAGCTTATAATTGTCTGGATTCTAGGAGAGAGGCAACAAGCAATTTCTCCACGAAGCACACCATCCAGGGTGTCAGCCAGGGATGGGGCTCAGCGGCAGAGAGTGGTCCCACATGTATGTGGCCCTGGGTGTTGGCCCCAGCACCACTGAAACAATAAAGCCCAGCCTGCCTCTTGGCAGGACAAGATTCTACCTAATGCATCAAAGACCGTCCAAGCCAGTGGGCCGAGGGGATTGTGCGGGCATTGCCGATGGATGTGGGGAGCAGCCAGAATGCAGGGGCTCTGTGTGCAGAGGGGGATTCTGAGCATGCCAGGTTTGGGGGGCAGTGGGCTCACAGCAGGACTTACAGGAGCCTTCTCCACCCACCTCTATCTCCCAAGGGTCTTGGTCCCCACCTGTGCATAGTGCCCACTGCAGATAGCACCTCTCCAGTCTGGGACGTCGACACAGTCTGGGTGCCGGACCAGCCAGTTGTCATCCTTGGTGAGGTAGGACCCGGGGTACTCGGACACGGAACCGTCAACATCATGGAACACCGACGTTTTGTCCCCATCCATGTCCAGCTGGTTGAACCAGGGCCCAGGCTCTCCGAAGAACACTCTGGAAGTAATCTGCACACAGGCACCCTGAGGCCTGGCCCGATCCTGCTCTCTGCTGACACCCACTACAGAGCAGGATGCAGCAGCCAAACCCTCCCTGCACCCATCTGGGTCAGGATCAGGATGCAAATGTGAGAGGTGGAGAGAGGACAAGGGTGGGGTGGGTGGGCACATGAGTGCACGGGACCCAGGAGCCACCTGGGACTGTGCCCTGAGCTCTGCCTGGCCCCTGGCGTGGCCACAGGCCCAGGGAAGCAGCTGCTGCTGGCCCTGAGCCCTCCACCTCCCTGTCCACGCGAGGCAGGAAGATTGACTGGGCCTCTGGCAAGAGGGTCCAGCTATGCCCTCGGCCAAGGTTCTTGGCAATGCATCTGTTTACGCTGCGGGGCCAGCCCAGGTGGCCCGGCAACGGACAGTGAGTCCTGAGCAGGGGCCCGTGCAGGAGCGGTGTCCAAGCCTGGTGCCAGGGCGGCTGGGGTCGTGCTGTCCAAGCAGGGTAAGGGTGCGGATGTCCCCCAGACTTGACCTGGGAAGTTTCCGCTCGTATTTTTCCAGTTGGGTGCACAGGAGCTGGGATGGGGCCAGTAGCTCCAGAGACCAGTGACTCACCCCAAGTCTGGGTTTTCACACGCGGCCCAGTACCCCACTCACCGGGACATCCTCAAAGGCGATGTCGGTGACGTTGTTGTGGGGGCAGCTCTGCCAGGCATTGTTGAGGCGGAAGGCCAGCGCGCTGGTGTGCCGGCCCTCCAGCGCTGCAAACTTGCGGAATGTGCAACTCTGGATGTTGACGGGGCCGTCGTAGAACTGAATCCCACGGATGGGAAAGTTCCTGGGGGTGAGCAAGCGGGCCTGAGGCTGGTGCCCTCCGGCATGTTCTGCTGCACAGCGCCCGGTTCCACCCCACCACTACCCTGGCTCAGAACAGAGGGAGAAACGACTCGGGGTTGGAAACATACTGGGTGGACGGCTGCACAGACAGACAGGAGGATAGGTGGGTAGGAGGCTTGGAGACATGGATGGACAGACAGACGGGCGGGCAGGAGATGAATTGCTGCCTGGGAGAGGGCCATTTTCCCCAGTGATCCCATCCTGTGAAGAGTCACTGAGTAAATACCATCACTGCTGGAGAGACGCCAGCAGTAGCTCCCTGGGGAGGGAGGGCCCTTAGTCATCCCCGCCTGAGTCTGGGGCTGAAACACTGACCAGACCAGGGCCCAGACGAGGGGCTCCTCTGAGTTAGCCCTGGGATTGGCAATCTGATCCCTCTGGTCAGTGTGTGCTCTCCTGAGAGGTCCCAACTGCAGCACAGACCCCCCAGGAGCCCGGGTTCCCAGAGCAGGACCAGCAGAGGCGGCCTGTCCCTCCCCACCATCCCTGTGCTTCCAAGACCTGGCGGACTTACGGGCCTATGGGGAGGGTGCGTCCACTGTGGTCCAGGCCACCGGGACCCCACAGCCGGTTGTCCACCATCTCCGTGCCCACGTTGGCACTCTCGCCCACGAACAGGCTGTTCTTGATCTCCTGCTTAGAGCCGTCGTCATATGGGAAGGTCCCGCCACTGCCGGGAGAGGCGGGTGAGGGGCCTGTGGAGGCCCCAGGGCCCAGCCGTGGCACCATGCTTACCTGGCCAGAGTCAGGCCGATACCGTTGTCAGCAAACCTGGGGGCCAGAGCACAGTCAGTGCCCAGCTGGGCACTCCCAGGACTGTCTGAGGTGCAAGAGTGCCCTCAGCGAAACTTTACTGGGCATGGGTCTTTCGGGGTGTGGATACCCCTCAACCCACCCAGGGTGCCCTCCCAGCTGAGAGGCCAAGCTGGGCCCCAACACTGGTTCCCTCTTCCTTCTCTGGGTGTCACCATACCCCACTCACCGGCAGCCATCCAGCCACACGTCGCCCCCGCGCAGCCAAGCTCCATGCTCCTGGTTCTTGTACGCGATGAAGCCCCGGATGATCGCCGGCTCACGGGGCTTCAGCGGGTCAGCATCCTGGTGGGGGCTGTACCTAGAGAAAAATGGGGTGGGGTGGGGGGCAGGGCCAGCGTTGGGGACCCAACTCTGCTCCTACCTGGACACAGAGGCCTCACACCTGGCCTGCCCCGCCCCCACCCAGGGCTCGTGCAAGGGGCCTAGAACCAGCTCCCTCAGCCGCAGCAGGGGTTCCTGCCAGACTGCAGAAGGCACAGGAAGTGGGTGCAGGGACAGAGGAGCATGTGGGGTGCTCAGGGCTGCCCACCTGGCAGAGATGATGGACAGGAAGGGCCGCTTGTCCTTAGCAGAGGCCTCGGTGGTCTTCACCCCATTGTCTATGATCATTCCGGCCTGTGGGCACAGAGACACAAGTTCCAGAGCCAGGGCAGGCAGCAACCGGAGAGGAATCTGCAGGAGGGCAGACTCACCCTGTAGTTGGAGTGTGCTCGGTTGTTCTGGAACTTGCCCAGGGGGATGTGTTCCGAGTACCCCGGCGCATACATGCCCACAGAGGGGCCTGTTGGGACATGGTGGAAGATGAACCAGAAGCCAGTTTCCTGGAGGAGGATGGGCAGCACAGGGTCCATCACTCGTGAGCTTTGGGGGCATATCTGGTCCCTCTCCCCAACACGGCACCATGGGCCGTGGGCTGTGGGCTGTGGGCTGTACATGCTCACCTCAGAGCCGGCTGCAGAGCAGTTGACCAGGTGGTTGTTGGGGTTGGCCATCCAGAAGGTGGACACGGCACTGGAGGGACAGCCACGGATCACACAAGCCCACGGTGAGGCCCACCCACTGCCCCACCCCGTCAGGGGCACTCACTTGCAGTCCTGCCGCGGCCGGGGCACGTAGCCAGGGTAGGCATCCTCGGTGATGGCCCGGCACATCCTGCTATCTCGGTCTGAGGGCAGCAGGGTGCCTGCCTTGACCAGCAGACCCAGGCAGTGGTCAAATGTGTTCCGCTCCTCCGGACCATCCTCCGTGAAGAAGCAGTGGCCCAGAGAGTCGTAGCCAACCACATCCTGGACCTGAGGGCAGCAGGTGTTAACACACCCTGAGGGGGCTTCAGGGACTTCACAGGAACAGAAGCGGGGCAGAAACCACAGTGCCTCAGCCAGAAATCTAGAACCTTCTAGAAACACATGTCTCCTCTTTGAGAAGGTGGGCTCAGAGCAGGGAACCTTCCACCTTGGGCCCAGCCCTTATTTGTATGTGAAATCTCTTCATTTCCCAAGGAGGGAAGCCAATGGGTTTTTTTTTTGTTTGGGGGCCACCCCCCTGGCTGCCCAAGAAGACCCCCCTGGGCTCAGCCTCAAAGGGCTTTTGCTTGCTGAAGGCAAACAAAGCGCCTTTGGGCGCCCCTCCGTGCGTGCACAGCTTTTAAAACTCAGGTCAGTCAGTTCCTGTTAAAGAAACTTAAATTTCGCATGAAACAATCAGTTTAGTGTCAGAAAGGCTCCGTGGCACTGGAAACAGTCCTAGCCCATGCAGCAGGTTCTGGCCTGGTGCACAGAGGATGTGTGATTCTTTCACACCTGTGGCTCAGACCCGCCCTGCCTCCAGGGGCGTGGGGAGGGGAGTGGGGGTCTTCCTCAGGCTGCAGCTGAGGTAGCTCACCAGCAGACCGTTGGAACCATGCACAGTCACACAGCGGGAGAAGGTGTGGTGGATGGCCATGTCCCGGACGTAGGTGGGCGGGTCATAGCCGCCCTTCCCATCCACGTCGCCTGCCAGGTGGAAGTGCAGCGGGTACTGGCCCACCAGCTGCTGGCCCATGTGCACCAGTTCCACACCCTCCAGGTGCACAGCCTTGAAGCCCAGGGCGACCTGCGTGCCGGGAGGGAGGCGTCAGCCCTGCTGCCACTGTCCCAGCTCCCTGCCTCCCAGCTTCCCGCCAGTAGTCCGTACCTTGATGTGGCCCCCAAAGGTGTCGAAATGGAAGAAGCTGCAGACGTGGGGGGTGTAGGGGTAGCAGGTGGGCTCCACCTCCCCCCGCACCACGATGTTCCGGCTCAGCAGCCCCACCTCGGCCCGCATGTCCACGCCGTCCACCTCCTCCCCCATGTGCAAGTACAGGGGCTTTCCTACAACAATGGGGCAGCTCAGCGTGCTCACAAGCCCCACTGCATGCGTGTGGGGCCTCGGACCCACCTCATGGAGGGATACAGCAGGGGGTGGGGGCTGAGCGTGGCACCGCGGGCCCAGACACACTGGTCAAGGGAGGCGTGGACAGGGGCCCAGGGCACGGAAAAGACCAAGGAGGAGGTGCGTGGGGGCAGAAAAGGATCCAGCAGCCACATGTATCGCACACACGTGCACACAAGTGAACACATGCAGAGCACGTGCCTCACATCTGGGAACCACACATGTGTGTGCGTCGAGTCTCATGCATACCACCTCTACTTCACGTGTGCGTGCGGGCACGCACACACACGCACACACACCTATCTGGGGCATTTCTAAACCCACCCACCAGGAGGCGCTGTGTTCTGTGGCCCAGATTAATACTGGGGTAGGGGGTGAGACCCCTGTCCCAGGAGCCGGAAGCACGTCTCCTGTCCTTCCCCAACCTGGAGCAGGGGCACGGACTGCCTGGCTCCTGCCCTTTTCCATCTGTCACCCGAGACGCAGCCCCCGGAGCAGCAGCCCAAATGCAGAGGTGCCGTGCTTGGGTCTCCAGTGTCCGCCACTGTCCTACCTGCCACGCGAACCTGGTTGGGGGCGCAGGCTCGGCAAGGCAGCACCCGGAACTCCTCTGCCTGGTACATGGAATAGTCAGTGCTGGCCACCACCAGCGTGTCCCCCGGCTGCCACGAGCGCACGTCTGCTGCCAGCGTCAGTGTTGTGCTGTTCACGTCGGTGTCCACCGTGACCGTGAGCTTGGGCCTCACTGAAAGGCAGTAGCCGCGCTCAGTGGCCCTGCATCCACCCTCCCCGCGTTCAGTAGCCCTGCGTCCACCCTCGTCACTGGGCTATACCAGCTCAGCCAGCGCAAGCCGGGGTCGCCCGCTCACCCTGCCCGCCTGGCCTGGCTTCTACAGCCAACAAAAGCCAGAAAGGACCAGAAAAGGGCCATTCATGAGCCGGGTAGGAATTTTCCACCCGCTCTTCGTGGGCCGGAGTTAATTGTGGCGGCTCGTACCACGCCCTCATGGCAGGGCCAAAAACAGATCTCTTTCTCCTTGTTATTTACAGTAGCTCTAGCTGCCCTGAGGGTCACACCACCGCAGGCTCTTCCTTGGGGCCCTGAGGTGGCTTCCGGTGCTCACCTGGTCTCCCGCAGAGGAAACGCACACGGTAGTGAAGGCAGGTGCGGCCCCGGGCATAGCACGCAAGCCTGTGGTCCTGGCCATGCTTGTGCAGGACCTCAGCTGTGAGATTCTCTCCATCTGCTGTGATGACCTGCAGAGATGCGCTGGTGACCAGCTGTCACCTCCGTGCCCCGTGACGGAGCAGCACAAACACACGTGGCCCCGTCCATACGACAGCCAAAGTTCCAGGAGGCCCAAGGCCACCGATGTGCTGGGATGGACAGTCTGCAGCTGTCCACGTCAGCCGAGCACTCACGAGGCAGAAAGTCAACCCCACTGGCTCTGGGAGTGGAGTATCTATTCCAGATCTGACCCCTGAGCTGATGTTTTTTGTGTTGTTTTGTTAATCATTGTTGATTTTTATCAATTTGACCTGCAATTTTTTTTTTCCTTTTTGGGTCACACCCAGTGATGCACAGGGGTTACTCCTGGCTCATGCACTCAGGAATTTCTCCTGGCGGTGCTCGGGGGACCATGTGGGATGCTGGGAATCAAACCCGGGTTGGCCGCATGCAAGGCAAACGCCCTACCCACTGTGCTATTGCTCCAGCCCCTGACCTGCCATTTATTTTTCTTGGGCCTTCAGTTTTTCGCTTTTGCTTTTTTGGGCCACCCCTGGTGATGCATAGGATTACTACTGGCTCTGTACTCAGGAATCTCTCCCGGCAGGCTCAGGATCCATATGGGATGCTGGGGATTGAACCCAGGTTGGCCAAGGGTGTTGACCCAGGGTGTTCAAGGCAAACACCCTACCCGCTGTGCTATCACGCCGGCCCCTCCTGAGCTGATCTTTGGAATTGATCCACGAGCTGATCTGGGGCTTCCAGCCACCCCACCGCAGGACCCTGCTTCCAAGTGTGTCTGCAGCACCTGAATGTCAAGTGGGCGGCTGCAGATTTTCCCAGGATGCACGGCCCGCAGGTCTGGACTCTTCTCCCCGCCCTTGGTCGGCCACACCTGCTCGTGGTCAAACCACTCAGTCCACACCAACTCTGTGGGAAGAAGGAGCAAAGGCAGGTGGGTGGGAGGTCAGGCAGGACAGGGCTGAGGTCACGGGCTGGCACCCTCCTCCCCGTGGCCCTCACCTTGCACCCATTCGCTGCACGATGTGACATTGAAGAGCTCCCCCTGCTCTGAGCGGAACAACTTGGAGACGCAGGCGGTCGCCGAGCCCCGATGCCCTGGGAGAGACAAGGTGTGACCTGGCCCAGGGGTGGCCACACTCGCTGCCATCCGGGGATCCCTTTGGGGTGCTATGAGTCCAGAAAGGGGGTCACAGAGGGCAGGGAAGGGCCCCCGTGAGTCTCACCGTGGAACTCGACATGCTCCTCCACCGAGGACGAGGGGTCCCCCTTCACCGTGAGGAAGCTCCAGGGGTGTCTGTGGAAGGCAAGGCCGAATGTCTCACACAGCCCCTGCACTCAAGGTCAGACACTGACACCACCACGAGTCCCAGTAAGGCTCTCTGTGCTGAGCGACAACAGCACCAGCCAGCCCAGAAGCAGGACTCAGGGCCCGTGGAGGGATGAGCAAGACACAGTGGGGTTTCTGGAACCTTCTGAAAGGTTCTGGAGTAATGGCCGTACCTGAAGCCCAGGTGTAGGAAGTGCTTGCTGCCCAGCCGGGTCATGGTCTTCCTGGCTGTGTCGTCCAGGTGGCGGGAGCCCTCGTCATTCACAGCAACAGACAGGATTTGGCCGTCGGGCACAGAGTTCAGATACTGGGCCAGCCGCTCGCTCTCCTTCTTGGAGCCATAGGTGTCGAAGCTGGGCGGGTGGGAAGGCAGGGGCAGATGGGCCTGCAGTTTCCCGAGGATCTGGGGGCATCTCCAGGGGCCACAGGAGGCCGCTCTTTCCCAAGAGCCAGGCTTTGCGGCCCAACAAAGGCATCCCCAGACATAACATGAACAAAGGTCCCCATGAAGAGGCTGACTGTGAGACATCCCTGCTGGCCCCCAAGCTCAGGGAGGCTTCACTGGGAACATTCGCTGACAGCCATCCTGGCATGGAGGGGCAGACATGGACCAGCACCAACAGCCAATGGAGACAGAAGCACATGTGTGGACATGTACATGTGTGGACATGAGGATGTGCATACGTGTGCACGTGTACTTGTGTGTATATGGGTATGAGGGTTTGTGTACGTATGTGTATGTGTGTACATATGTGTGCATGGGCATGGGAGGGTGTGCATGTGTGTGCATGGGTATAAGGTACATGTGTATGCATGCGTACATGAGTTGAGGTATGCATGCATGTGTGTACATGTGAATGCATACATATGTGCACATGTATATAGGGGTACAAGGGTGTGTGTGTGCGTGTGTGTACATGTGCATGCATGGGTATGAAAGCGCGTGCATATGTGTACATGGGTATGTATGTGTACACGTACGTATGTGTGCGTGTGTGCACATGCGTGCATGTTTGTCCGTGTGTGCATACATGGGTATGGGTGTGTATGTACACGTGCATGTGTGTGTTTGTGTGTACACATGTATGGGGTGTGTGTACATAGGTGCAAGTGTGTTTGTCCATGTTTATGCATATGCATAAATACATGGGTATGGGGGTTTGTGTACATGTGCATGTGTGTGTCCATGTGATGCGTGCACGGGTATGAGGGTGCAGGCAGGTGTCAGCTCCTGTTCAACCCCAAGTCAGGCTGACGCCAGGGAAGGAGAGAGGCACTGCATCCGGGCACGCCTGGGCTGCATGGACAGAGGCTATGGGCAGCGGGCTCTGCTGTGGCCAAACTGCACCACGCAATTCGGGGCGTGGCCAGGGACGGAGGGGCATACCGGTCGGAGTGGATGACAGCCCCCGACCCAGGATTGATGACGTGCACGATGACCCCACGGTGGCCCCAACTGCGCTGGAAGAAGTAGCCTCCCTCCCTCATGCCACCGGGGTGCAGCGTCCGGTTGAGGAATGTCCAGGAGAGCTTCTTGCGTCCGTGCAGTTCAAGCACGCCACCCCTGCCCACGCCCAGGAACTTGAGGCCGAAGTAGGGGTCAGGTGGCGTGCCCTCGTCAGCCCTGCGGGGACAGTGCCCATGAGTCAGCTGACAACAGCAGGAGCCGGTGTCCAGAAGCTCAGGTCAAATGCGAGACCCCTAGACAAAGACTGAGCACCACTGAGACCTCCTTAATGAATGCGCCAAGGCAGGAAGAGGGCCTGGGAGACCCCCCTGGGCAGCTCCTTGGCCTTTACCATCAGAACCCGCTAGAGTGAGTGCCAGATAGGCCATGGCCCCACCAGCATCCGGCCTCTGCCTCCAGTGGACCCTGCTAGCCCGAGGCCACATGCTACAACACAGGGGATCAGGCATTGTCTCCCTACATCAACTCCCACTCCCCAGAGAGCCCCTCTCCCCCTCCCCCTCGGCACCCACCGTCCATATAAGACGAGGCTGAAGTGGCTCTGGAAGGGGCAGTGAACGCTCCCGATGTGCAGCTCCCCTCCATGCTCGATCAGGACATGGCGTGCACGCAGCACGATACTCTGCCCATGGTCCTGGACCACCAGCTTCCCTGGGGAGACAGAGCAGAGGTGGGGGGCTTCCACACAGCCCTGACAGGCAGGTGTGAGCCCTAGGGACTCACTGCCTCTCCCCGAGGCCATGGCTATTCCCATACTGGCCCCTACCCTCCTAGGACTGGCTCAGAGGTGTCTCATGACTGGGCACCAGGCATCACCCTGGTCCCCTGCAGGATATAAACACTCACCCCCATCAGTGATATGGACAGAGTGGACGGTGGCTGAGGCTGTGAGCAGCAGGGCTCTGCCGTGGCCGACCTGTGCCACGTGGTTCGGGTCATGGCCGGGGCTCCAGGGCTGCAGCTCCGGGCTCTGGTGGGGACACTCGGCTGCAAGGACACAGGTGTCACCACTGCCCTCGGCTGGGCCCAACCAGCCTCAAGGGCCAGCCCGTGGCCGAGCTCCAAGTGTTCCCAGCTGTGCCTGAAGACGGGAAAGTGAGATGGAGCCACGTTCCCGTGTCCCAGAACTCTCTGGAAAGTGCCGGTGCCTCTGCACTAGGGTGGGGCCTGGTGTCTGGCCCTAGTAATCTCTCAGACGTGAAGATCCTTCTCTGGGGTCCCACCCAGCTCAGGGGTATGTTTTATCCAGGGGTACGGGTCAGCGGTCGCAATCAGAGGTCCATGCTGGGGGCCTGGCCACCATCTACTTCAACTGGAGGGTCTTCCTGCTGGAGGTGAGTCCCAGAGAGAGTAGGAGCTCGTGGAGGGATGTAAAAATTGAATTTTGGCACTGGAGAGATAGCACAGCAGGGAGGGCACTGGCCTTGCAGGTGGTCGACCCCGGTTCGATCCCCAGAACCCCATAGAGCCCCCCAAGCCTTCCTGGAGTGGATCCCCGAGCACAGAGCCAAGAGCCAGCCCTGAGCACCGCCAAGTATGGGTCAAAAACAAAACAAAGCAAAAATTTGAGTTGAACATGGAATATATGGAAAACTTTCACATGAAAACTGAAAAGTTCCGGAAAGTTCAGAAGGTTCTGCCACAGGGACTGGCTCTCTGCATGGGAAAAGTGGTCCAGAACAGGAAGGCAGCTGACCTCAGGCTGACCGAGCCGGCCCATCACCCCGTGCACAGAAACCCTGACTCAGAGCAAGCTTGTTCTTCTGAAGGGGCCTCTCCAGGGTCTCCTGGGACCCAAAAGGCCAAGGATCAGATCTGAGGACCCCTGCATGCCATCCCTCGCTCCAGCCCCTCCATGGCTGGGGTTGTCAAGTCGCGGGGCTTCCTGACCCAGCCCTACAGCCCAGATGGCTCTTCTGTGCCAATCCCCATGTGCTGGGGGCTTACCTGTGCTCACAGCTTTGGGGAAGCGAGTCAGAAGCAGCCAGCCGACGGTCAGCAGCGCCCCACGAGACAGGTCCTGCCCGGCCGCAGCCTCCATCCCAGCACGCGCCCTGGATGGGAAGCCACACGTCAGAAACGTGGCTCGGGCTGAAGCCAGTGTGAGGGAGGCCACAGCCACATGGACACAAAGGCAGGAGCATGTGGACGGGGACCCAGACCAGGTTCCGCGGGGCAGCGTCAACACTGGCCGCTCAGCTGCCAGGGGAAGAGACACCAATGGCCCCAGCTTGCTATGTGAGCTCTGCTGGTTTGAGGAACCTCTCTGAGCCTCAATCCTCATCTCTCAGGAGATAGGGGACTTTCTGGCCTCTGAGTGGCCCTCAGAGATGTCTGTCAGTGCTCCTATGAGTCCTGTAGGAGTGCGGGAACACCAATGGGGGTAACTGCGGGTTGCCTATCCAGGAGAATAGGGCAGATGACCTTCAGTAATCATCCCTTATCAGGGACGGCACCACCCAGAGTATGTCTCCTGCATGCTCTGGGCTGAGAAGCCCTGTGTGTGCTTGTGGGAAGGCAGGAAGCTTCCCTTCCTCTCCTTCCCTCTGGCTGGAATAGGGATCTGAGGGCTGTACATGAGGCAGCCATGCTTGGCCATGAGGTATGTCCACAGAGGAAGAATCGGGGCTCCACTCCATGAAGGCGGAAGCCCCCCAGGCTGAGGGGGGCTCTCCCTGGGAGGGAGGGGGAGCCGCCCAGGATGGCCCAGCCCCCACCAGGGTGCCTGGCAGGGAGACACATGCTGGCTAGTGGCTTCGGGGCCATCCGAGATCCACCAGTTAAAGGTTCCCAGAAGCTCTGAGCTCTGGTCAGCGGCTGCGGGTCCCCGAGCCAGGCCCAATGAGGCGGGGGACAGGCACTGGCGCATCCATCCTCGCTGCTGCTCCAGCTGCCCGCACACTGACGTTCCCAGCATGGCACCTGCAGAGCGGGGAGGGGGACAAGCATTACTGGAGCTCCCGTTGTCTCCTGGGACCCCGACCACGGCACGTAGCTTTCGGGCCCTGCACAGGGTCATGGCTGGGATTCAGACCCTTACCGGGGTTCTTTTCCAGCTCCCGGAAGAGAACAGCGCAGAGTCTCCTGCCCCCGTGCCTGACTGTCCTCACCGGGGCCCCTTGAGGGAGGCGGGTTGAGTTTCCCTCCCCGCCCCAACCAGAGCTCTGGCAGCTGAAGACCTCCAGAACCAGCCACAACCATGCTGAGACCACTCTCCACACACGTGAAAGTACCAGCAGAGGAACAAAGGCATGCAGGTCCTGGGGCTGAGATCTCCAAGCCTGCTCGGATTGGGCTGAGCATCCTCCACCCAGATCCTCCATCTTCCAGTAGGTGGGGGTCACACCCACCAACTGCGCCCCTCCCTCCTGGCGCCATGTAATCTCATCAACAGCCAAGACCCAGAGACTATAAAACCCAGTTCCTGGAAGTGGGCGTCGTATTTGCGGCGTGCGACACCTTATTATCTCATTCTTGCTTTGGACAACCTGGCAGGCTACCGAATGTAACCTGCCCACACGGCAGAGTCTGGCAAACTCCCCATGGCGTACCCAATATGCCAAATACCAGTAACAATGATGGGTCTCATTCTCCTAACCCTGAAAGAGCCTTGAATGTGGCACTTTTTAGAATCTCAGGGCTAGGACGAAGGAGACGTTACTGGTGCCTGCTCGAGGCAATCGACGAACAACAGGATGATCGTGATTGTGTGACTGGAGTATTGTGTAGGGGGCAAAGGTCACACTGCTTGGGGTCCCAAGGTCAGCCTGAAATTCTGGGGTCCTCTTTGGAGGCCTCTGAAGTCACACTGGGGGCCGGGGGATGCTTGTGGCCAGGTGAGGAGCTGGTGGCCCCGGGGCCTCTGAGCACAGCTGGAAATGGAGTCCCCTCAGAGTGCGCCTCCCGGCTGAGTCAGCACCCCGCAGCCCCGTCCCCGCCAGCAGTTCCCTCCCCCTGCTGCTCCCACACCCACTGGCACATCCCCTCAGACCTATAAACACTTCATCCCGTGTCCTGCGGAAAATGCCCAGCTCAGTGACTGGCTGCCGGCCCTGGCCTCGGGTGCCGGAGCCTGTTGATGAGGTTCCAGGAAGGCCCTTCGCACCCAGGACCCCTGAGCCCCACATGGGAGGAGGTGGGGGGGTCTGCTCAGAATCTGGGTTTAGACTTGACCCTGAAGCTGAGAGCCGGGGCCTGGAAGAGCCCTCACGAGCTGACGCAGGCAGGGTGGGGGTGGAGTGGTCTGTCTACACCCTGACGTGGGCACTGCCTGGGTGAGCGGAGGGGTCTGTCTACACCCCTGACGTGAGCAATGCCTGGGTGGGCAGGGGTCTCTCTACACCCTGACGTGGGCACTGCCTGGAGGGCACGAGGTCTGTCTACACCCTGACGTGGGCACTGCCTGGTGGGGAGGGGATCTGTCTACACCCCTGAGATGGGCACTGCCTGGGCGGACAAGGGGGGTCTGTCTATACCCCTGAGATGGGCACTGCCTGGGCGGACAAGGGGGGTCTGTCTATACCCCTGAGATGGGCACTGCCTGGGCGGACAAGGGGGGTCTGTCTATACCCCTGACATGGGCACTGCCTGGGTGGGCGAGGGGGGGGGCTGTCTACACCCTGACATGGGCACTAACCGGGCGGGCAGGGCTGGGTTGGAGCTGAGAGTCAGCCAGGGCTGGGGAAGGAGCTGTGGCCCTGGGCAGCCATGCAGGGGTTTCGGGAACTGGGGGTTGGGGGGGCTAGGATCTGCTCAGAGGACACCCAGCTGGCTGGGTGACAAGAGCCAGAGGGAGAGCTCAGGGCAGCCTCTGAACCTTCCGAAAGGCCATGGGACCCAGTGTGGTTCCTCCTGCTGGGACCAGAACCCTCTCCTCCCGTCAGATGGATCAGGCAGGCTCAGCCCCATCACACTCCAGCACTGTCCCTGCCACCCCCAAGTTCCAGCACTGTCCCCACAGCCCTCACACTAGGACACTGTCCCCACCGTTCCCCATGTTCCAATGCGTCCCCACCATCCCCCATGCTCAGCATTACCCTCCCCATCCCCCACACTCGGGTCTGTGGCCAAGGATGCAGGGACCCAGAGCTGGTTGCCAGGAGGGGCTTCTCGGGGTCTGGGGATCGACACTGAGCTGCCCAGAAGGAAGCCACGACCCTTCCCAGCCCCACCCCAGCTGGGACCCATCCTTAGTGGCAGGCACCCAGAGTATCCTTCTGTAGGCACCGGTTTGGGTTGTTTGGGACATTTCCGATGGAACATTCCAGCAGCTCCCGAGCCAGAAGGGAAGAAGGGTGTGAGGACAAGCAGCCCGGCCTCGGGGAATGACCCCGTGCAGCCCAGCCATCTGAACCCCAACACAGACAAACCCCAACACTCCTGAGCCCCAACACACCTGCTCACCCCAGTGGGCAGCACCTGCCTTCCAGCAGGTGGGATGCACTGAGCTCACTGTGCGGGGGGCGGGGCCTGGGGTCTGAGAGCAGGAGGGGGCACGAGCTGGGATTGGGGGGGTGCTCTGACCTGCATCCTGGGGCACAGCCCTGCGTCCCCTGCTTCACCGCCACCTCTTCCTACCAATGTTTCAAACTCCTATGTGATGAGAGCAGCAGCCCCTCCTGGGATGGGGTCCCTCCCCCTCTCCACACTTGGAAGTGGCCGTGACTGTTGAGTGTCTCCAGGACATGTCAGCCCGCAAGAAGCAGAGTGGGGCTGGGGATGCCCCTACCACCGGTGGCCTCGACCTGACAGACTGTGCTGGTCCTGCTGCCCCTGGGGAGGGTCCCCGGCACTGGCCCCAGTTCGAATGGCTGAGCAGAAAGTCACACTTCCTGCCATGGACCGGGAGCAAGAGAAGAGGGCTCAGAGAAGAGGTGGCGGGTGCTACCTGGGTCATGGAGGGAGGCGTCTGCTGGCCTCCCCTGCCCCATCCTGGACACGGGGCCCAGCTGGGACGGGCGGGGAGGCTGGAAGCCACTGAGCTTGGGGAGCCCGCCAAGACCCAGAGGCCCCACTCTTGGCTGCACCGGGACAACCCTCGGACACGGGACCTGGCTGGGCTCTGAGTGAGGATGTGCCTGTCCAGGGCCACAGCCGAGAGGAGCCCCCTCTCAGGCACAAGACCCCTATACCCTGCAGAGACCCCCATATCCTGAAGAGACCCCCAAGCCCCACAGATACCCCCAGACCCTGTAGAAACCCTGGGGTTCTACAGACACCCCCCAGGCCCCACAGACCCCTGGACCCCACAGCCTGCAGAGACCTCTAGACTCTGAGAGATTCCCAGACCCCGCAGAGACCCCCTAACCTGCACAGATCCCTGAGTGTCCTGTCCTCTGTCTGCTCTGTTCGTCTGTCCGTCTGTCCGTCCGTTCTCCCTCACTATCTGCCCTGCAGGAAGCCCTGCGGCCCTAGAGGGGGAGGCGGGGGCCCCGAACAATCCATCCCCTTCACCGTGATGCCCTGATGTCAGGGATGCAGCCGGGTGGGTGGGGGCCACAGAGAGTCTGGAATAGCTGCTGCCACCACGTGGGGCATGTGGTCTGTGGAGTCAGCCTTGTCCCCGGGGGGCCTTGCGGGAAACAGAAACTCTCATCCCTATTCCAAGAAACCAAGTTCTGGGGGACAGTCTAGGGAACAGGTCATGGTAGCCGGGATGTGGGGCTGCGTCTGCTCTCAGAGTCCCTGCCTGAGGGGGGTCGGACCAGAGACAACAACAAAGGGTCCAAGTCAGACACGGCAGCAGACAGGGGTGGTGGGGAGCACGCCCGGACGTGGCAGAACCCAGAGGACTGGGGGCACCTCTGGCCTGTGGGCACTCTGGCCCCCCACACTGGAGGGGGGACTTGGGCGTGGCGGGCACGTGCCCTCAGACATCAGCTCTACCTGCTCTGCACCTCCGATTCCAGCATCAGAGACACCTCCACCACCGCCCCCCAGAGCCAGGCTCCTGCTTTGCTGCAAAATGTGAGCCACGTCCAGGTGCCCAGATGGCCACGTCCAGGTCCCCAGATGGCCATGTCCAGGCCCCCAGATGGCAGCGCTGAGCTGAGGCTGCACCCCAGTCAGCACC